GTGGCACCCACCCCATCATGCCCGTAGGGCCTGGGCAGACAGGAACCTGGCAGACAGGACCCCATGCTTCCCACGCCCAGACCCTCCTGTGTTACCTCAGGCTGATTCTCTGCAACCTCACCAAGGTAGGTGAGAGGGCCCTGTGGGACAGGGAGCCCCTTGTGCAGCCAGGACAAACACATGTGCCGTGGGACGCTGTAGGTTTGTAACCAAAGAATTCAGGGGCAAATTCTGCAAGAGTCTTACATCCCGTGTGTAGCTCCTGTGCACATGCACGAATTGCTGAAACAGCATTTAGAGCACTCCAGGCTCCAGATCAATCCTCTTCTCCCATTTCAGCCTCTTGTCCCTTCCTCCCATCCCTTCCCCAGCCTTTGAGCTTGGCTCTGCCATCACCTTCCATCAGGGGCCCGGCAGCCCAGCAAACCTTCCTCCAGAGCCTAAACTGCTGGAATGTCACCTGGTGGATGAGAGCAGGGTCTTTTCTAGGTGTTAGACAGTGCTGAAATAATACCCTGTACCATCCCCCCCACGCACTTTCCCTGAGCAAACAGCGATCTTGCAGCATCGCCTGATGGACGTAGCGCTGCTTACCAGAAAACCCGAGCTCAAGGCTTTGCTCCAAGCAACTTTGTTTGCCTTCCCAAAGCAGCCCCAGAGGATCTGCAAGTCACCCAGGAGGCAGGAGAGCACTCTGTGCTGGAAACAAAGGAAAGGAACTGGGGCAAATCCCCCAGCCATGTAAATCAGCCCTGGCGTCTGGCAATTTAACACTGATTTACACCAGCTGGCTCTGGCCACATCAAGTTCAATTTAAACCAGCTGAGGCTCTGGCACAGCCCACGAGGTTGGGAGAAAAAGAAAGTGAAAGGGAAGGTGGGTAGGAGTTGTGTTAGCAAGAGCAGGGGTGGACCTGGGCTGTAGCTGGGTGGCTTGAGCCACAAGCCTGGCTTCAGGTTGACACCCAGGGACTGAGCTAAGGCTGTGGGGATGGGGTGCTGTCCTGCAGGGCCTAGGGGGCAGCTGGGTGGTGCCCCATCATCTCACAGCCTCCCTGGCTGGGAAATGGTGTGGAGATGGGTTTCTGGCAGGTCTGTGGTCCCAGGCAGACTGGAAATGTTAGGTTGTTGGTAGTGCTAGGGTAATGGTTGGACTTGATGGGCTTAAAGATCTTTTCCAACCTAAACAATTCTAAGATTCTGTGAAATATTGTGGCAGGAGTGCAGGCATTGGGAAGGTCAAATGTGGCCAGGGATGTTTCCGTGGGAAGAGGTTGCTGCAGAGTCTTGGGGTTGTTCCTGCGAGTGGTCTGGATTGGAGTCCAGTGATGGTTTCTATCTGCTGTTTCTTGGGGATGGAATCCCAGAAGCAGTACTGAGGGGCTGGAGGAGGATCTGCTCTTGGTGGGCTCTGCCAGCCTGGCTGACGGAGATCTGCTTTGCAGATCCTGGGGCTGAGCTATGAGGTGTGCAGGTGGGAGTTGCTTTCCACCCCTGCCAGTCACTAGTGCTCAGAGCCGGCTGCTCACCGGCATCTGTCTGACTGGGATTTGTCCAGGGGAGGAGAAACCTGCAGCCAGAGCTCCAAAGTACTGTCCCTGCTCAGTTGCTTGGTCCCTGCCTGCCCTTGGGTCAGCCTTTTCTGCAGATCAGCTGCTGCATAGGGGATGAGATGCAATGGCAGTGATAAATAAGTGCTCCAGGATTTTCATGCCAGAGGAGAACCGCCATCATGATTGCTACCACCAGGTAGTGTCCTGAAAACATCAGCAATCTGCAGTTGAGCAGGATCATGCTGGCTGCCCAGCAAAGCAGCCCTGTGGCCTGTCTCTTGATAGTCCCCTGTTCCACCAAGCAGGCGAGGGAAAACCCCCCTGGGCTGTTGGGTTGCTGCATGCACATTTATTTCCTTTCTATCTATCCCTTCCATGCCTCTGGCCAGGAACATCTTACCAGGCAGTTGGATGAGAAATGTTTCTGTTCCCTGGGCTCGGTGACACCAGGCAGCCACATCCTGCTGCATGGTGGCACACTACTAGGTAGGCATGGCTGGGGCTTTGCTAGCAAACCGCCATCCTCTGAGCTACAGCTTTTGTGGAATAGCCACGCTTTTCTGAGTGCACTTCAAGTTCTGTGTGATGTTCAGGGTTGGGTTAGATGAGAAAAGCCAAGGGGAGGAGGCATCAGCTGCTGGAACCCCTCAACAGTTGGCTTGGCTCCTGGGTTTCCAAGGGCACTGGGTGGTCAGAGCTGGGCAGAGAACTTGTCCAGGCCTTTTGGAGGAGGAAGGTGCCCCACTTTACATCATAGCTCTCACTTTTGGCCCTGGTTAGGTCATATTGAAAGAGCGTGAAGCCACATGTTCCTGTGGGTGCTCTCTGGAGTAAGGGGGCTGACCTGCTGGAGAGCAGCTCTGCCGAGAGGAACCTGGGAGTCCTGATGGAAGACAAGCTGACCATGAGCCAGCAGTGTGCCCTTGTTGCCAAGAAGGTCAATGGTATCCTGGAGTGCATTAAGAGGAGTGTGGCCAGCAGGGCGAGGGAAGGTTCTCCTCCCCCTCTACTCTGCCCTGGTGAGACCCCACCTGGAGTACTGTGTCCAGTTCTGGGCTCCCCAGTTCAAGAAAGATTAGGAACTCCTAGAAAGAGTCCAGAGGAGAGCAACTAGGATGATAAAGGGACTGGAGCACCTCCCCTGTGAGGAAAGGCTGAAAGAGCTGTGCTTGTTCAGCCTGAAGAAGAGAAGACTGAGAGGGGATCTCATCAACACATCTTATAAATGCTTACAAATACCTTAAGGGTGAATGTCATGAGGACGGAGCCAGACTCTTCTCAGTGGTGCCCAGCACCAGAGCAAGGGGCAATGGGCACAAACTGAAGCAGAAGAGGTTCCAGTTGAACGTGAGGAAGGATGCCTTTATTTTGAGGGTGACCGAGCCCTGGAACCGGCTGGCCAGGGCAGCTGTGGAATCTCCTTCTCTGGAGATATTCAACCTCCACCTGGACAGTGTCCAGTGCCCCCTGCTCTGGGTAAGCCTGCTTGAGCAGGGGGGTTGGCCTGGGTGATCTCCTGAGGTCCCTTCCAACCCTTGCCAATCTGGAATTCTATGAATGGGAGCATCAGGGCAGCAGGGTGGTGCTGAGGGGAGATGATTCTGCCTGGCCAGGGTGAGAGGGGCTAGGACACACGCGGCTCAGAGGTGTTGGTACTGAGGTGGTATCTGGTGATGGTGGGATGTGGGGGTGTTCAGCTCTTTGGGTTTCCTTCTCTTGTTGGTTCTTCCACTCAAGCTGAAAAAACACAGCTTGGCTCAGGCTGGGTTTGGCTCTGCTGCTGATGGGGAGGGTTGCATTTGGGGTCTGTGAGCATCCGCTTTCCAGCTGAGGAAGCTCCCCATATTTCTGAATGCACCTCCTGCCCCAGGAACACCTCCTGCCTTGGGGCTGATGAGCCAACAGGGCGCAGAGCACCCCATGCAGCCTGGTCGGGGGCCTCGGTGCCGTGCCTTGCCTTGCCTGGGCTGGCTTTGAGCATCTACCGCTGGAGACCATCTCCTCCAACAGGGCCTGGCCTCAAAGCTGGCTTCATACCACAGCACCTGTGTACACGGCAGAGCTTCAAACAGACCTATCGCTGGGAAATGCTATAGCTGTGCAGCCACCTCCCAGCTCCATGCCTCAGTTTCCCCTCCCAGCCTGCTCAGTGGGAGTTTCTCTAGGAAGGAACTGCTTCTCACATGTGTTCCTGTAGCACATAAGGAATGGAGCTTTGAGCCCGGCTGTGGCACGTGCCACCTCGGTGTGTGACCACCATGCTAAGGGGGACACTGCACAGCTTCCCCCCCAGGGTCTCAGGACATGGGCACTGGAGATCCTGGACAGGAGCTTGGGGTGTTGCACAGGCAAGCGTGGTTCTGGTCTGGCACTGCCAGCATGGCCTGGGGCAGGACACGGGCAGCCCATGTCCACTGGCCATGGGGTACCAGCAGCACCCCCTACCCACCCAGCATCCCACCCTGCTCGCATAGCTCCGGGGCCCCACTGTGGCATTTCAGCCGATTTTCAACCTGGTCTCCAATGGTGGCTGTGGGGGAATGATGGGCAGCTGGGAGTGGTGGAGAAGCCCCAAGGACTGTCACTGTACCAGGGACTCCCTCTGGGGCCAGACGTGTCCCATTTTCCCCTAAATATGGGTCTTTTGTGGTGCTGGGGGCTTCTCCCTAGCACCCATGGGTGCATGCACAGCGTGCCCGCTGCCCAAAGTAACCGGAACAGGCCTCAGCATCCCCGCAGACACCCAGGACTGTGGCCCGGCTCCAGCCCCAGCGGTGCTGCCAGGCTCCCGTGCCAGCGCTCCCGCCTGCCCACCGCACCGGCCGCTGCGCCGCCCAAGCAAAGCCAGCGTGTCCCAGCAGTGGGGGCCCATTAGAAATGAAATGTTCCTACTGGGGTATTTTATTTGCACACTTCAGTAGAGTGGACACCAAAAGGCTTTGCTAATGCTTCATGGGCTGCTAATTTCCTCTCTGACCCGCATTGTCAGAGGGTGACCCCAGCCCGAATCTCTCGGCAATGAATGCCAAAGGCTGACACCAGCCCGGGTTAGGGGTGACAATGGGGCCTCTGTGGGCTCCAGGCAGGCTCCAGTTGGGAGCTGGAGAACAGGGGGAATTTGTGTGGCTCTCAAAAGCTCTGGGTGGCACAATAAGGGAGGCCCCGGGGTCTCCCAGGAAGACAGAGGCAGCCCAGGGAAGCCGGGCTGAGGGAGGCGGGCGGGAGGATGGTTTCCTTTGTGAAAAGCTTTCTTTAGAAAGGAAGGTTTTTCTGAATGCCCCCTTAGACAACCCAATCGGGGCCTGGCAGATGGATATCACAGGCATGCTGCTTATTCATGGCAGGCTGCAGCTTTGAGCCGTCCCCCCCTTTCCCCCAGCCTTTTATTCATTTTAAGACTAATTTGTTTTGTTAATGTTTTCTTGCCCTCCCCCTCTCCCCCGTGCAGATTGTGACTCATACTGCAAAGCCTCCAAGGGGAAGCTGAAGATCAACATGAAGAAGTACTGTAAGAAAGACTACGGTGAGTCGCTGCTTCCAGGGACCAGGGGTTGCAGAGGGATGAGGATCGGGAGCATCTCCCTCCCAGGTTCTCCCCAAGCCCACCGAGCCCAGGGACGGGTTTGCCGGCTGGGTCTCAACCCTGCCCCGGCTCTGGTCCACAGCAACTGGCCCCGCTGGGGTGTGTGCCGAGCAATTTGGGGTATGGCTTTTGCCGGGTTTGGAGAGGAAGCCCTGGGGAGCGATGCTCAACGAAGCAGCAATGCAATTGCATTGCTTGGAAAATATGAGTGCCCCTGCGGATGCTGAGACAACCCCAAATCAGGGTCCACAGTGTCGTCACCTCAAGGTGTCTTCTGGGTTACGATGACACCGTGTCCTCGCTCTTCTCACTGTGCTGTTAGATGCAGCAGCTTTTAAAAATCATGCTTTTCTGTGGGGACAAGCAGCAGGCAGTTCTCTGCCATCTGGATCCATCCCTCCTGTAATTCCCAGGCAGGTTCAGAGGGTGTTGCAGCCCGAGGACAAGCCAGGGAAGCTGTGGGATCCCTGTCCTTGCTGGTACCCAAGGTCCTGAGCATCCTTCCACAGCTGTGGCTTGGAGCAGGCACATCCCAAGCTCCGGCCCCACCTCTCTGCTGCTGGGATTATTTTTAATGTGGGTCCATTCCTAGTATGGTCACCAGTGGGCCCGTGGAGGAGGTGGCCAGGGTGACCCCAGGAGGGGATTTTCTTCAGGCCACACCAAGAAACCCCTCAAAGCCCTCCCTGGGGCTCAGCAGCTCCTCTCCGCCCTAGCTTGGCTATTGCCCACCAGCACCAAGTGGCCCCATCATGGGCAGATGGGGAGGGATGGCTCCACTGCTGTCCCACCTGCCTGGAGGATCACACCCCTCTGCCAGACACGCCAAGCTATCAGGATGAGCTGAGCATCAGGAACGGGACTGACCTGGAAAAATCAGGTAGAGCTGGTTAAATACATGCACTCTGTGCTGGGGGGATGTGTAGAAACAGTGCTAAGCATACGTAGGGGTTGGAAATTACCCCACCCCCGCAAAGACTGGAAATGGGGGGGAGCAAAGTGTCTGAGGGCAGGGGAGAGGACTGTGAGCCCATGAGCTTGGCTTTGCGCTGAGCCTCCAAGCATGTGAACAAGCAGGGAATTATGAGGTGCTGCAGGGCAGGGCTTAGCATCCACCCAGGCTGCAGTTGCCCCGGTGCCTGCCAGCCCTTCCCCTCCAGAGCAGAGGAAAAAATTTTATATATATATATATATATATGCATGCATTATATGTATATGTGTGTATATATATATGTTCACCAAATTGCCAAGGAAAAGAAAAAAACCATCCCATCTGCATTAGAGCATCCAGAGGTGGTGACGCCTCATCCCTCCTCCAAATGTGCTCACAGCAGCAGCTCAGCGTGCCTGGGAAATGTTTGCAAGAGCAGAATGAATTCCCATTTAACAGCCCCTCCCAGACAGGTGCCTCCCAGCAGGGCCATCTGAGGGATGCTCTGTGCTGGCTTTGTGTTCCAGCACCTCCCCATGAGCCCAGGGGAAGGAAGAGGGCTTGGGTGAAAATGTTTTATTTACATTCCCACTTATTCTTCCATTACCCATGTGGCAAAATGGTCGTGGAGAGCATCTCTCAACAACGACGGGCTGCCAAGGCTGGGGCCATGCTCATGGTGTGTGTCCAGCGAGGCCATGCTGAGGGCTGGCCATGCTTGTAGGAGCTGCTGTAGGTTCAACAGATGTTGGAAAAGTCCAAAAAATGCCTTTTCCCTTAGAGAAAGGGTTAAATTGCACATGAGAAAGCCACTGCTAGATCATGAGGTTATTAAAGACAGGAGTGGGGCTGATGACCAGGCTATCAGAGCCATTGGGTTTCTCACAGGTGGATTCTCCGCTGGCTAATAAGGTACAAATGCATTTCCCTTCATTTTCCCAGCTGGCTTCTCCAGCATCTCTTAAGGGCTGAGCGTATGCTGGAGCATTTTCTCTCTGAAGAGGGGAGACAGCAGCCATTCAACTGCAGGAAACTTATATGTGTCATGATCCAAATTGGCCCCAGGGATTTGGAGAAGGTAGGGAGGAAAAGAAGGCACGTGCATCCGCCTTGGAGCGTGGTTCCCAGCTGAGCAGCGTTGTCTGTGGCTCTCGGGGTGAGGGTTGCAGTGTTTCGGTGGTGGCAGCACTTGGGCTTTGCTTGAGGGGTGGCCCCAGCGTGGTTTCACTCCTTGGCTTGTCCAGTCTTGCTGGGGAGATGTTTCCTGGGGGTTTGGGTGAAAGCTCATGCTTGGTTGTGTTTGAGGCTGTAAGGTGGACTCGCGGGCTTCAACGGACCCTGGGGAGATGAGTGCAGCTCAAGAGCTGTCTCAGACAAGAGATAACCCCAGAGCAATGAATAGGGGTGCTGGAAAGGGCTTTTCTTCTCTCTTTTATCACGCAGCATCGCTTCTGCAAAAGCGCAAGTGAGCCAAAGCCGCTCACCAGGGCTAGTTCAGGGTGAGCAGGCACGGGCTGTCTCAGCGCAGGAACCGGGGTGCTCCCCCCTGAGCCCTCCTGGCCCTGGGGCGGCCCCAGCCAGCCCCCCGGCCCCAGCCAGCCCCGTAGCCATGGCAAATTTGCTTTTTCAAGGGCAAACCAGCCTGGCGAGGCAGCAGGGTAAGCGATGCCCGCAGCCCAGCCCAGCCGTGCTGGGGCAGCCCATGCTTTCAACAGGGCCAGGGTGGGAAGAAAGGGTTGAAAAGGTGCAGGGAGGGATAATAAAGACTTTGGGTCTGACACCCCAGCAGGATGCCAATTAGGAGGCTCTTTTCCTCACCGTTGCGCCGGCATCGCTGGGATGAATGTCCCAAAAGGCCCTAATTAGCTTGGACAGAGTTACTTCTCCCGCCGGCTCAATCGGGAAGCTATCATCCGCCCCGCGCCTCAATGGGGCTTTTTAGCTCCCCATTTCATTCAGTGATTCAAAGGGGATATTTTCCCTTATTTATTTTCTTATATGTTTGGTTTTGTTGGGTTTGTGGTGGGTTTTTTTTCCTTTTTATTTTAAATTGGAAAAAAAAAGGGGGGGTAGGCAAGAACAGAAGCAGAAAAGCTTTTTCTGGGTTTATTTTGGGTGTCTGATGGAGCAGAGGGGTTGCTTGGCTCGGGGGCAGAGGAAGGGGTTTGCTGGGTTTGGAGCAGTAAAAGTTATCCCAGGGAAGCGGGGGAATCCCTGCTGGGGGTGGAGATCCCCCCGGCCCAAAAGGAGAGGGGGTTATTTTAGTAGAGCAGGCGATGCCGCCCCAGGTAGTGCAGGAGCATCCCTTGCTTGCTCGGGTGCCACCATTTCGGCCTGATCTGTGGGGCTTTATCCGCTGTCTGCGTGGTGTGATTAATCCCAGTGGGATAGGCAGCCATGGTAGGGGAAACCCGGCACTTTTGGATCCCTGTCTTTCCCCTGGGCCCTGATCCTGCACAGAGATGCCGGAGCGTTGTGCTGGGTACCGGCACTGTGGTCCCAGCCCTTGCCCCTGCGCCCTCCCCATGGCCCTGGGCTGGTCTCTGGGGAGGGGATGGGGGCGAGGAGCGGGATCCTCCGCTGAAAGGTGAGATCATCTGCTCGCTTTGCCTTTCCTTGGAAAAAAAAAAAAGAAAAGTAAAAAAAAAAAAAATATCCTTCCTTTTGGAGCCTTCACTTAGTCACCCCCTTTGTCGAGAGGATCTTGGCAGGGGCCAGTGGAAAAAAGCAAAACGTGTTTTCAAAAGGCAGCTTGAAAAGAGAGAGGGAGGAGAAAAAACCTGAATCCACAGAAAACCCCAAGGTGGGGAGAAGCCCTGTCCCTGACTGTCCCGGCTGCAGGCCCTTCTGCCGCCCCGGAAGGTGGAGAAATCCTGTTCCTGGCATGGGGATGCGCTGGGTGAGCCATGCCCGTAACCGCATCCCGAGGGAGCAAGCCGGGCAGGGCGCACCCAGGCTGGCTGGGATTAGGGATCATAAATCTCCAATATTAAACCAGTAGGAAATGGACAACCGGAGGCAGGCAAAGCCAAATAAATTAGGAAAAAAAAAAGGGGGGCAGGGCGGTCTGGGGGGGGTGAAATCCCATTTTAACCTTTTGCTCCAGCGAGGAGCCAAACCTGAATGGTGTCAGGGTCACCTTTTGCTGCTGGTTGAAGTAAAATCCACACGGGCTCTGCTCTGCTTGTGTGGTGGGAAGGGACCTGAGCCCTCAGAAAGCCCCAGCTTGGGCTGGGACGCCTGCACCCACTGTCCAAGTGCCCCTTTCTGTCAGTCCCTATTAAAGACCCTCTTGCCTCTCCCAGCAACCACTCTGCTCCCACTGCCACCCCACAGTCCCATGGGATCTTTCCCAGGGCCAGTGCAGTGACGCTCCCCATCAAGGGAAGCTCCCCAAAGCTCCAGCTCCTGGAGTCAGGTTAGCGCATAGGATGCATCGGTTTGTCCGAGGTCAGCTTTGGCAGGGGAAAGCTTGAAATCAGGAGATGATTTATCACAAACCCCCAAAGCAAATAAAAACCAAAAGAAAATTATAATTTTTTTGTAACTCTTTTTATGGCAATCTCATGATTTTTGGGCCCCTGACTCATGGTCTCTGAATGCTGCAAGGCGCTGCTTTTATTTAAGCCTCTACACAGGCTGCCCTCAAACATATTGGTTTGAGGGTTTGGGGCTGGGTTTTGGTTTTATTCACATCAAGTCATCCCACCCCTCTGCTTTCATCTGCAATATCAAACCTTCAGGTCCTTCCTGTGGCTGGGGGGCCCCCAGCCAGGCAGCACCGCAAGCCCCAGAGCTGAGCGACGGGGGCACCCGGGACACCCCATCCCCTCCCGCAGCCCAGGCACTGCTTGGCCCCCTTTTTCTAACAAAGAATCATGGAATCGTAGAATCATAGAATCATTTGCGTTGGAAAAGCCCTTTAAGCTCATCAAGCCCAACCGTTACCCTAACCCTGCCATCCCACCACTAAACCAAAGAAGTAGAATGTGGGGAGAGGAAGGTATTGCCTGGGCTGGTGTGGCTGGTCAGGCACCATCCGGGCAGGATTTGGGGTTCAGCGGCATCGATGTCGGGTGGGATGTGGTTAATGGGGCAACGCCGGGCGCTCACCATGACTGAGCATCTTCCCCTCACCCCTTGAACCCCTGCCCTCTGGCTCTCGGCACCCGTTTGGGTGATGACGGGCTCCCTTGGGGCTGACGGGGAGCAGAGCAGGGTGCAAAATAGCGAGCCTGGAGAAAAATCCCCGGTGTTACAGGGGTACCTGGGGGGTGCAGCCAGCCCCAAATTACCTGTGGGGCTTTGCTGCCCACCATTTGCAAAGCATGGGGAGGAGCGGGTGCAAGCTACAGGTGACCCCAAGGCACCACCGCACTCGGGACCCGGGCCAGAGCCCATCCTCCCTGGAAACCAGTGTCACTGGCCCTGGTGGAGCAGGGGCACAGCAAAAGCTGCTGCTCATTTGATTTTGTTCTTCCCCTCCGGGTCACCATCCACTGCCAGGGGACCACGGCCAGGGAAGCATCCCCTCTGTCACCCTCTTGAATAACCATCATCCCCTACCACATCCTTTCCTCCACTTGTCCCATAGACACTTTCCAGGGCATTTTTCCAGGGACGCAGTGATGGTCCCCAGTGCAGCTCAGCATCGGTACAGGGGTGCAGTGAACATCAGCAAAGCGCGAGGAGTTCACTGCAGCGCCGGCAAAGCCAAGCTTTGCCCTAAGGAAGGGCAGGTGAAAGACAACATCAAGCTCCAAAGCCAGCTTTGGGGTGGTGGGGTGCTGCTGAGCCCCCCCCCCAAACCATGAAGTGTCTGAAACATCCTCTTTCATGAGAAATGAGTCCCTAAATCCCTGGGGATGCACCCAGGGGAGCCAGCTTAGGTGCTTCCAAAAATTCCTCATGGTAGCTCTCTGCATCTCTGCACATTTTGTGTCCCTTGGGAGATGTTGGAGACACCCCCCCCAAAATACCCATCACTAAACTTGGGCTCTAAAACCCGGCTCAGGGGAAACTGGGCATCCTGGATGCAGAGTTATGGACAGAAAACTCGCTGTCGGGGAAGGCAGCTGCAGCCCTGCCAGCCAAGCCTCAGCGCAGCTTTCACTCCTTCCACTTCATTAATAAAAGGGGAAAAAAATGAGAGACGGGGGCCTTGACATCAAAAAAAATACAGACTGTGTATTTTAGAGCGGAGTTTCCTGTAACCACCTCTCTCCAGTTCCTTTTCATTCATTTGCTCCATTTTGTCAGTGTGGACCCAGTCAGGTCAAAGGTTTAAGCTTTTTTGGAAAGATTTCTTTCAAAAAAATAAAAATTGGCTAATCTTCACATTCTGCTGCCTTCACACCAGACTGGGAAATACATGGTCAGAGCTTAGGGTTGGGTTTGTTCCTTTTTTTTTTTTTTTAATGAAAGCATCTGGCATCCATGACATGCTCCAAAAAAACCCAAAACCCCAACCTTCACATATATTTTGCAACGTGTTACAAAGCCTTGCTGGGCTGCAGAGCCCTGCTGCCTTCCACAGCTTCAAATCAGTTTGCACGTTGTGGTTTTAAAGCGAGGGGGCTGCTCCTCCACTGCTAACCCAGGGCAGTAAAACCGGGCTGTTACAAGGCAAATGGGGGAGTTTGGGCTGGTTTGGGGGGTTTTTTTTTGAGGTTTCTTCTCCCTCTGATAATTTATGCAATGGAGACTGGCCTCAGCGGCGACTGCCCAGATGGCTGAGACAGGCAGGTGGACGGGCAGGGGGCTATAGCTCACAGGGCGTGGAGGGAAAGGGGGGAAAATAAAAAAGGGAAAAGCTCAAAGTTTTGATCAAAAAGTGGTTTTTGGTTGGAGTGTGCCAGCCTGCTCTCCCAGGCAGGGCTGGCATCGCCAGCCGGGTTTTTCCCTCTGTCTCTGCTGGTGGGGACTCCTCATCCCACAGTCAGCAAACAAACCCCGGAGGGCTGAGCCCTCACTTCCCCCTGAAAATATTTTCCTGGAAGCAGATTTTTAGCAGGGAGGAATGTGTTCAGCCTCCCTGGAGGATGCGATCTCAGCTGACTGCTGCTCCGTCCTCCTCTGCTGTCCCTGTGCCGGGATGGACCACTGTCAGGAAGAAGCCCAGAGCAGCCTCCAGGCTGGTGCCTCCTCTGGCTTGCTGGGCTGCGGGGCCAAACCCTCCCTTTCCCACACGGGTCTCCACCCTTTCCTGGGGTTTGATCCCAAGTCCATGGATGTCACCTAGAAAGGGTGTAGGGCTTGAGGAAGAGGAGGAGGAGGGCTGGCAGAGGCCACTGTAGCCTGCTCAGGGCCACCTGGGCTGCAGCCTGGGGCTGCCCCATGGCACAAAACTGCAGTGGCTCCAGGGGCTTCTGAAATCAGCCGTGGGCAGAGCCTTGCCCTCGAGGACACTGGAAGCAAACCAGTGTCCACCAGCATCCCAGCATCTTTGTGGACAAGCCCAAGAGGAGTCCTCTCCTGCCCAGATCATGATGCCAAGTCACCTTCACCCTGGCCCTGTGAGACCTGCATGGATGCTGGGGGGTGCAGGGATAACGTAAGACACGAATGCCTGCTCTTTCTTCAGGAAAGAGCAAGGGGTGGAGCAGTGGAGGGTTGAGTCCTCACCAGGTTTTCTCAGGAGGCTTTCTCAGTCCATGTGGCTACAGACAGGCTACAGAACATCAGCCACGGGTTTGGAAAACACCATGCTCTTGCTATTCCTGTGCTTATGGCTCACAGATGTCCTCCCATCTCTGTCTTGCTTTGGGTGCCTGTTATCTCCCAGTTGCCTGCCAGGACACCTGGCTTGCCAGGCTGCTGCATCCCTTGAAGCCCAATGGCTATTCAGTATTCACAGAGATGTTCGAGTGACTCCACCAGACCCGGAAGTCAGAACATGTCCTTATGATCACTGAGCCCTACCTTCAGTCCTTGACCGGTGCTTTTACTAGCAAAGGCATCTTCCACAACAAGCACTGACCAGTATTGACGCAGGAACATCTCCTAGAAACACGCAACAGTGAATCTCCCTGTTTCCAAATTCTTTCATAGGTTTGAACCCATTCAGTATCCTGCTCCAAGGCTGGGCACTCATGAGGAGCCGTCTCCTTGTGCTGGCCCCGGGGCAGACATGCTGGAGGCCCTAACAGGTTTTTCCTGCCTCCAGATGCCAAATGGTTGGAGATCTTGGGCCAGTCCCAGTGTCTTGCTCCAGATTTTGGCTCATCTTCTCTTGAAACCTGAGGCTGCCTGGAGTCCTGGTGCGGATGTGCGAGTGGCCCTGTCTGGTGAGGAAGGGAGGGGCTGGAGAAATGGCCCGTGCAGAAACCCATCCTCTGGCTGAAGCACCTGCTGCTCGCTGGACAAGAAGAAACTTGTCTCAGGTCTTGTGGTGCAGCCCAGGGTTTTGGCACTGCTGATGGGGACAGGCACCTCCCTGCCATGCCCAGCACGATGTGTGCCGTGTGGAGGCACAAGCTGATCCTGCATTTGTTAATCTGTGCTGCTGCTTCAAGGGAAAAGGCAGGGTCCAGTGTACATGAACCTACTTGATTTTTAAATAATTTTTTCATTGCTTTGAGCATTCACGGGTGCTGGGGCAGATGTTGCTGCACCAAGAGCCCTGGGGAACTGCTCCATCGGTGGTTGCTTCATGGCCACGTCCTGGGAGATGATGGTCCTCCCTAGGACATGGACAGGAGAATGAGGCAACCCGCTCCCCACCAGTGCTCTGGGTAGCCCTGTGTCATTCCCAGGGATCCTGGTGCAAGAAGTTAGGGTTAGGTTTCTCCTTCCTGGAGTGCAGCAGCTCCCCACCTCTGCCCCCCTCCTGGCGGTCCTCCAGCCCCTGTGGTCCTCGGGCAATGCCCATGCTCACTGCTGCCTGTGTAGCAGCAGAGCTGGAGAGCATCTCCCAAGCCTTTGGTGGTCTGGGTACCTTTGCTGAGAGCCTCTGCCACCAGCACTGGCTACTCTTGCTTGTGGCAGATGGCCTGGGGGCAGAGGTAGGTTTTGTGCAACCACCACCCTTGGTTGCTCTCCCCCAGCCTGGGCTCAGGAGACAAAACCCCCTTTCCCTCACACAGCCTATTCGGTAAGACTTAAAATTCATTTTCTTCTCATCGGTTCAAATCATAACATCTTTTCTTGACTCTGGTTTTTTTTTTTTCCAGCTGTCCAGATCCACATCCTGAAAGCGGAAAAAAATGCTGACTGGTGGAAGTTCACCGTCAACATCATCTCTGTCTACAAACAAGGCAGCAACCGGATACGGCGCGGAGACCAGACCCTGTGGATCCACTCCAAGGACATAGCATGCAAGTGCCCCAAAATCAAGCCCATGAAGAAGTATTTGCTGCTGGGCAACAACGAGGACTCTCCCGACCAGAGTGGCATCATTGCGGACAAAACCAGCCTGGTGATACAGTGGCGGGATACGTGGGCTCGGCGGCTCAGGAAGTTCCAGCAGCGGGAGAAGAAGGGGAAGTGTAAGAAAGCCTAAAGGAGGAGAAGGCAACGGAGCGCGTGAGAGGGAGAGACTGACTGTGCTTGCTGCTTTGTGTAGAGCTGGGGTGGGCAGGGACCAGTGACGGGGATGGCGGGAGGAACGTCGTGCTGGGGGGGACGGGAGGGATGCCAATCACGGCTGTGGGGCTGCCAGGCTTGTACCTCATGTTCTGGGAGAAAACAAAACAAAACTCAACACAAAAAATCACACACATGGATGTGAAACAAGAGGAGGGTGGGTGCAGGCGTGCGGCTCTTGGTGCCCCCCGCCCCCCCCCAGCTTCTTTCTGCCCTATTGGCTGCAGAAATCAGAGATACCAAACTGCCTTCCAGCTGCTAACATCTGCTGCTTCCAAAGCATGGCACAGGAACATCAAACCTGTAAGGAACTAATCAATGACAATGCTGGAAATTAACCCCCCATCCCCAAAAATATGTACTCAGCTTAGGTTGAACAGGAGAGTTATTGTAGAGGAAACTAAACAGACTTATCACCGAGGGCAGATCCAAGGATTGACTGATAGGGGTTATTTGAGGACTCTTTGGTATTTGATAGCTGTAGCCATCACCCGCTGAGTGGCCAAGGTCTGATCCCAGGTTAGGCACAGCAAAGTGGAGACCATGTTAGTGGGCGACTTCCACCCAGGCATAACTTGGGGAGTGACCCCTTGCTGCAGCCCCCATGCCCCATGGAGTGCTGCCCCCCACCATGCCGGAGGAGGGAGAGCCCATGGGATGCCCTGGCCCCCTTCCAACTCACAGTCAAGGACTTAATAACAGAATCCCCAAGGAAACACCCAGACTTTGCAAAAAAATAAGTTGGCATCCAGTTTCTGTAGGTGTCACCCCCTCCAGTCCCTGAGTCTCCACCGCAGCCACCCCTGGGGCCTCTCCATGGGCTTGGTCCTCTCTGCCTCCATCAGCAGAGCGATGAACGCCCACGTGACAGAAAATCCATGCAGATGACACCGAGGTCCTGGCTGGCAGTGGTTTCACTCCCAAACTCAGCCAGCTCTCCCGACCCCACACCAGCTCTGCCCTCGCTCCCCCTGGAGCTCCCTGGCATCCCTGCAGAAGGTGGCCAGCCCCTTGGTAGACACAGGAGGTGGGACAGCGGGTGCCAAGGGACTGTCCCCCCAGGCAGCCGGGCCAGCAAGAGCTCTAAGGCTTGGCCAAGTTACAGCCAATGCAGGGCAGAGACCTGCTCCAAGGGAAGGGGGTCTCAGCCAGGGACTGGGTGAGCACGGTGCGACCCACCTGGAGCTCCCCAAATTGCTCTCATCCTTCTGCTGGGGGTGAAAAACAGCAAATGAAGAATTCCTAATCCCTAATGGCTAACACTCTAAGCAAGGTAGCGGCTGGCCCACCCCCGTCTCACCCCCCGTGCCCCAGCCTGGGGCTGGAGCATCTTTCCCCTGGGCAGTGTAAGGGCAGGACTGCCTGTTGAGTGGTGTCACCCAGACTCTTGTGTCGCGCCGGCCCACGAGGACCAGGGATATCTGAGCTCACCTACCCAATGGAGACAGGCAACAGCCAGGGTGGAAAGGAAAGGCAGGGAGGGCAGGACGGGTACCTGGAGGAGAAGCAAACATTAGTTGCTACAAAAAGCAAAACCTCCCTGATATTTTTCCTTTTAGGAAACTTGGAAACATCTATTTTATGACATTTTCCAGTGGTTTTTCCTTGTTTTATAGCAATCAACAATATTTATATAATGACATAAACCACCATAAAGCGAAGCAGCCATGTAAATAGGTGTAAAGTGGAGGGCTCCCAGGGAAGCAACGGCCAGCACTGGGCTGCTGGAGACACCACCCGGGGGGAACGAGCTCTGCTGAGCCTCCCCCTGCAACTGCAAGGCCCCTCTGGAATTAATTTGGGTATTAGGAAAGAAATCCCACCCTGGACATCA